GTCATGTCTCCGCGTTTACCAATGTGTTTTGTTAAGTTTGCAGTAATGTTCAAATCTACTGCTGCGTTTTTTGAAACACATACAGTTTCCTGAGAAAATCGTGTCAATAGGGGGCCCTTTATAGAGTGTAGTTTAAGCCTGCGGCCGGAATGTAGTTCATTTTAAGGACAAAATCCAGGAAGAAATGCATTATTATATAATTATGACCTAATATACATGGACATCTGCAGGCTGTGAGGAGACCAGTCTAATGATTTAGTTTATAAAATTCAATATAAAAAACGAGTTGATGTGGGTGTGGGTGCTCAGGTCTAGCTTAGTTATAAATTGATTCACGAGCGAAGCATCGGTCTTGCGACTAACCTATTATGGGAGACAAAGTGGACATTGTCAGAAATGACGGCGAATTGTCCACTAACAGATGACGTTGTCGCTGACTGCGCAGTTTAAACTCTCCATCGGATAGCAGGGCATTCTTCTTAAGTAACGGGGTTTTGGCCTCAACTCTCTTCATACCCAAGTCAGCAATTTAGGGTAAACAAAATAGGCCCTAACGTACCGGGTATAACAAAGGATAGTTGATCAGACGAAGAGGGGTTTACAGTAGTTACCTGGGTGTAGAGTCATTAGTGAATGAATATTTACTACTGTATAATTCTAAAGCTTATATGCAGGCGACTGAAATTACCAAAACGCAGACAAATCTTTAGATAAGACAATATTTGAAATGCATAATTAAGGTTACTCGTAAGCGTGTAATGAATTCCCCATAACGCCATTTCTATAACATTCTGCTTCACCATCATTTCTTGTGCGAGATTCGCTTCGGAACACAGATGCAAGTGTCTAAAATTGGAGTAGTTGGAAGTTGTTTTGACAGATTCTATTCCACAGCACGTGAAAAAGTGGAGCATATTACTGTGTTGGTGCACAACAGGGGGTTTACGATTGCGCCAAATGTACGTTCAGGGAATGGTAGCGAGTTTCCTCCTACGCACTTGGAGAACGCCCTGAGTCTTGACCCCCGACACACGGCGCGATCTCGCCATATTTTGTTTTTAAAAATACGAAATCGAACACCCACACATAAGCCAACCTTTGAATGATTTTCCAGTTGTTTTGGCAGGCTCTAACGCTGCTGGGAAATTTTTACACTGCCAGAAAAAACGAACTGTCTGCGGTTTATGAGAAGAAACAGGGAAGGGTGATTGTGCATGTGGATATTCCTGAGAAATATGTTAAGTGCCCTATAGGCGGAACCAATATTCGCCGTGCCCCATGTATCAGCGACGGATTCCCGACGTGGACGATAGCAGTGTTTTCTTAAAATATACACATTCACGCTCAAACCGACTATCTCATAATGCCCTTCATTCTAATTCGTGCGCTATTAGAAGTCCGCAGTTGTCGGTTGTATTATCTTCTGCTCCCAGATATCGCAAAAAACTTCGACTTTGATGACAATGCAAACAAAACAAAGACGAATGAGGATCTTAATCAACTGCAGCTTATATCCTCGTCAGCTCATGGCAACCACATGTCGCCTTTGTCGGAGCACGAAACCACTGTGTTCTCGAGAGTTTCGTCGATCAGAGGGCAATGTCTGATTATTCAGGGACTTTCCGAATCCACAGCTAGTGCCTCCAAGGAGCGGGTCTCGGCAGACCTGCAATTGTTACAAACCCTACTCAAGGAACTTCTGCGCCCAAATGAGGAAGTTTCCGCTCTCAAGGACTTTAGGCTTCGAAAGCGCTTACGAAATCGATGGACAGCATTGATGAGGTACAATGTCTGCCTCCCTTAGGTCGAAGCGATCACGTCGTAATTCAATGGGACAATTATATCTTTTCCGTGTCTGAACAGAACACCAAAATTAGAAGAAATATTTGGCGTGGGGACTTCGATCAACTGAAGGCTGAAATCAACAATACGAACTGGGAATCAGCGTTTTCCGGAAAAATAGCTGAGGATTGGAAATGATTTAGTGAACTGTTGCATTTTCTCCTGACAAACCACTGCTCGCTCTCAAGGAAGGGGCTAAAAATCGTTTCAGTGCACATCGCTGTAATATCAGTAGCCGCTTCGAATAAGGCATTTCTTTTAGGCAAATAAGCAGCTGTAACGCTGACGTGGACAATGTGACGTCTAGTAGAATAGTAACTGAGAGTGTCACACTCTGGCATGTGTATTGTCCACATGACCTGTCACCAAGTTACATCTGTACATCAAAATTCGTCACAGCAATTACCAAGGCCTACATGAACGACAGCACAGACCAAGCGATTCGAGTGCCCAGAAATCCTACCCGGACTGGCATGCAGTCTGAAGATTCAGTGCAGTTGTGGGAGAAATCAAATAGCCTGCGAAAAGATTATTGGCAACTATAGTTATCTACCCGTGCTTGTTAGCAAAAGTTAACATTGGCTGTTGTTCGAGTGGTTTCAGAAATATTCAGTGGTAGTAAGTTATGTGGAGCTGTGCAGACTTCATCAGGGAAGGATTTAAGCACCACAGTCTACCACTTAATGGCCTGCTTCCTCACAATGATTTTGGAGGCCATTAAGCGTTCACTTATATCTCATGGAAAATCTGCATAAAAATTATAATTAGACAACGACCGGATTAAGGACTGCAAACACACACGACCAGCCAAAAGGCCTGTTTAACGTGAAAGGTGATAAAAGGGTGTTTACAGGCGGTGCCTATTTATGCATAGAGGAATGACATTTTACCTATACATCATTAGTAAATTCAGTTTTCTTTCGTACAACTTTTTATGCATTGGCACATAACAACCGAAATTAATTAGAACAATATAAATGATAAACATTAAATGCATACACCGGTCGCTCTTAGACTCTGCGTGCTGAGTTAATGGTAGATAATGAACCACACCTTCTATAACAGACGCACAACCTTGTACGATGAAACATCAAACCAAAATAATTGTGTCGATCTAAAACCCATTTGAATAAGTTTGGCCGGTATTCTCTGCAGGCCACATATGTTTGGGGTTCCATACCAAATAACTACCGGTATTTATTATCCTGTTCGTTCAGTAGAAAATAGTGTCTTCTTCCAATTACATACTTAAATAGGGTTTGACTTAATTTTGAGAAAGTATCTGATTGTGAGCTTTTTAACACATATAAATGACCGTTTAAAAAATGTCATATCTCCGCATTGAACAATGTGGCTTGTTAAGTCTGCAGTATTGTTCAAATCTACTGCTGCGTTTTTTTAAAACACATATAATTTCCTCCTAATTTCATGCAGAAATGTATAATTTCTGGTAAGTGGAAAATATATGGCATGTAGTTTGTGAACCCTACCTTCAAGTGTGACGGCGAGTCGGTTGTAAAGTTATTCGGGAATCGAAAAGCAATTTAAAAACCGAATCATACACTTCCTTCGAGTATACAATTTGACGAAGACATAATTTTATGCCGAATGAGCAGAATAAGGCAAAATTTGTACGTATGTTTTTCAGGAAGTAAAATTAAATGTTTAAGGAAATTGAAAATGAATGAAATAGCTCATGCATAAAGGGAGGCATTTTTACAAAGTGTATTCGTTGCTTGTGGCCGGAAAAAAAGTTCGTTTGAAAGTTCAAATCCTGGTGAAGATGCGTTATTATTGAATTATGCGGCATGATATTTAGTTTTACAGTCCTTCTTTAATATTATAATCCAATTTTGGTTGATATTTCTTGTCATTCCACTTAATGTACACGGACATCTGCAGGCCGTGAGGAGGCCAGTAGAATGCTCTAGTTTATGAAATTCAATGTTAAAAACGAGTTGATGTGGGTGAAGGTTGAGAGAGTGTGATAGATACTGCTCAGACTTAGCTTAGTTATATATCGATTCACGAGCGAAGCATCGGTCTTGCGGGTAACATGTCATGGGAGACAAAAAGGACATTGTCAGCAATGACGGCGACCGGTCCAATTACAGATGTCGTTTCCGCTGACTGCGTAGTTTAAACTCTCCATCGGATCACAGGACATTCTTCCTAAGTAACAGGGGTTCAGCCTCAAATATCCACTTGCCCAATTCAGCAGTTCAGGGGAAATAAAAAAGGCCTTAAATGACAGGGTTTACCAAAGGACAATTGATATGACCAGGTAGGATTTACAGTTGTTTACTTGGCGTAGTCAGCCAAGTCATAATAGCAGCAAGGAGGGACGACAGAGAAGGCGGGTAGATTGATACAGCACTATGCTATTACCGACAAAGACAAGGGAGACTGGAATGGCCATTTCTGGCTTATTAGCCGTCGTCAGCCAGCCATACCCAAGCCCGAAGTGTGGAACACCCGAGCCTCGAACTCGCGACCTGTTGGTTTAGAAGTCAACGCCTCTACTCACCGGGCCACGAGCCCGTTGCCTTGTCGGTTTTCGATCGGGAATATACAATGTTAGGGGCGCTCACCGATCGTTCATACGGAACTCACTCATTCCGTTGTGCCTTAAGGGCTCTCTCTCGAGCCCAACCAGCAGCCGCACAGCGGCGCATGATATATAGGCAGAATGATACGGCACTGTTTCGGGCTTATTCTGCCTTCATTCAGCCAATCATAACCCTGACCACCAGCAGCTGAGACCAGAAACACAAACATGCGCACAGACGCACCTGGCGCAGTCGGTCCACCACTGAGGCCTACCAGATGGGTCATAAGCACTTCTTTGAACCGAAGTTCATCAGTGCCTCGCCACCTGTCATTCTCTGTCGCTGCAGATCGGGTATTTATCAATCAGGAATGGGCGCACACCGATCTATTGGCATCAAAAAGCAAACAAGCTCCATATATATATATGTTGAAAAGAGGTAGGTTCTTTGGGACAAGAGGGTTTATTGCGTAAATTTTCGACGCTGGTTCCCCAGGTCGTCGTCAGACGCAAGCGGAAAGCAAATGTGAAAGCAAGGAACAGCTAACGTCAAGAGTGCACAAAAATCGATACTTGCATGGCGTGTGCGCCGGTTGGCGGCCGTCGTGCGTCAGTCTGAGCTGGTTGGTTCCCTTCTCTTCCATTTCTCCTTCAGGTTTCTGTACACGGCATCCAACTCGATATGCCGGTTGATGCATGAGTCATCAGAGTGCATCGCCTCGAGGAATTCTCGGCCTTTCTTGAAAGGGCAGACCGCGACAACGCGAGCTTTGTCCCAAGCGAAAGTGTGCCCGGTGTCCAGCGTATGCATGGCTACCTGAGACAGATGGTCTCGCCTCTTTACTGCCAACTGGTGCTCATGGATGCGTGTTGAGGCGGATTTTCCAGTCCGGCCACAATAGACGGCAGTACATGCATTACACGGTATCTTGTTGACGACCTCTTTCTTGTCCAGCTGATTAACCCTATCCTTAGGATGTACCAGCTGAGAGCGCAAAGTAGTCGTAGGTTTGTGCGCCACTCGAATTTGGTGCTTCCTTAAGTGCCTTTCGACGAGTTCAGACACATTCTTAATGTAAGGAAGGTTTCGCCAAGTGCTTAATTCAGGCGTCTGATTGGAACTACCCGGCTCCTTCTCCCTTGATTCTCGTTGCCTCATGCATCTGCGTACAAAGTCCTTAGGGTATCCATTCTGCGAAAATAATTCGCACAAGTAATTCACTTCGGCTCGATAGCCTTCTTCATCCGAACAATGTGTTTTTGCTCGACCAAGCAGACTGGTTACGGCACTCCGTTTGTGAGAAATGGGCTGGTTGCTCTTATAGGAAAGAATGACCTCAGCGTAAGTTTCTTTCCGGTAAACGGATGTGCGTAACGTTCCGTCGACCTTACGCTGCACGAGAACATCCAGAAATGGGAGTTTGCAGTCCACTTCCTTTTCAAGTGTGAATTGAATCCCAGCAATTGTTGAGTTGAAAGTATTGTGGAGCACTTCTAGTTGGTTCTTTTTTACGATAACAAATGTGTCATCCACATATCTTAGCCACAATTTTGGAGTACACAACGGGAGCGCCGTTGCCTCTAGTTTCTGCATTGTCATTTCAGCGAGAAAACCAGAAATGGGTGACCCCATAGGGGCTCCTTTCAGTTGCTTGTAGCATTGCTGGTCGAATGAAAAGTTAGTTTCCAAGCATAAACCAATCAGTTCGAGCATAGCGGCGGCGGGCACATCTGTGTCGTAGCACAGAAGGAGGTCCTCGGTGCACTGTTTTGCGACATCCAACGGTATTGACGTAAACAGGGAAACGACATCAAAAGAGACCATTATCTCATCAGCGGAAACTGTGATCCCTTGCAATTTCTTCAGGAATTCTGTCGAGTTCTCTATTGAGGTTTCACAATTTTTCGTGAGCGGATGAAGTTTCTGGAACAACCACTTGGAAATTTTGTAGTTAGGTGCACCGATTAGTGATACGATCGGCCTAAGTGGAACTTCGGTTTTGTGGACTTTAGGCAATCCATAGATCTTCGCGATGGTCGGCTCAGTTTGTTTGAGCGATTTAGCGATGTCTTCTGACAGTTGTTTCTTCCCTGTGAGACGCTTCAACACTTTGTCGATGGATGAAGCTTGCGCTTTGGTGGGGTCTGTAGGGAGTGGTTGGTAAGTAGATCTGTCGTCTAATAATGACAGCATTTTCTGTTTGTAGTCCGTCTTGTTCAAAATGGCAGTGGAGCCTCCTTTGTCCGCGGGAAGAATGATAATATTTTGGTCCATTTTAAGGCCTTTAATCGCCTTTCTTTCTTCAAGTGATAGTACTGTAAACTGGTTCCGGTCTCTTAAGGCGTGTACAGTACTATTTCGGATGGTAGACCGTTCGTCTTCAGTAAAGTTTGCTGTTGAAATAATGGATTCCAAGGTTGTAAGAAAGTCCAAATAATTCGAGTCGGAAAGATTGTACTTCAATCCCTTGGACAGCACACCCTCTTCCGTTGTCGTGAGGACTCTGGAGGACAGATTTACGACTTTCTTTGAAAACTGCTGAGCTGTATCTGCTTTCTGTGAAATGTTCATCCATTTTCTGTCTAGATTACTCCTCTTCTTTTGTCTTTCGAGTTCAGAAACGTGTGAAATCGTTTCGTTCAGCGATTCAAATAAGTGCGAAGGAAGCTGGTCTCGACAAAATTGCCTGTGCTGCTCCTTAGAAACTTGGCACTTTTGGAGGCGATAATGGGCGTCGGTTATGAATGCATCGAGCATGCTTCGTCCGTAACGTGAAGCAATTTGGTATCCCAAGGTAGATTTAACCGCAGGTTTCACACACACGGATCTTGGCAGTATCTTCTTATTTCGGCATCTGTGCAGAAATGTTAACTGTTCTCGCGTTAGACTTTCGCGAATTGCACATTTTTCCCAACGTCTGGCTTGTAGCAAGACTTTGCGGTCGTAATTCATGCGTAAGTATTGAAAGGTGGGCATCCCAAGCGATATAAGTTGAAAAGAGGTAGGTTCTTTGGGACAAGAGGGTTTATTGCGTAAATTTTCGACGCTGGTTCCCCAGGTCGTCGTCAGACGCAAGCGGAAAGCAAATGTGAAAGCAAGGAACAGCTAACGTCAAGAGTGCACAAAAATCGATACTTGCATGGCGGGTGCGCCGGTTGGCGGCCGTCGTGCGTCAGTCTGAGCTGGTTGGTTCCCTTCTCTTCCATTTCTCCTTCAGGTTTCTGTACACGGCATCCAACTCGATATGCCGGTTGATGCATGAGTCATCAGAGTGCATCAAGTTGGATGTCGTGTACAGAAACCTGGAGGAGAAATGGAAGAGAAGGGAACCAACCAGCTCAGACTGACGCACGACGGCCGCCAACCGGCGCACACGCCATGCAAGTATCGATTTTTGTGCACTCTTGACGTTAGCTGTTCCTTGCTTTCACATTTGCTTTCCGCTTGCGTCTGACGACGACCTGGGGAACCAGCGTCGAAAATTTACGCAATAAACCCTCTTGTCCCAAAGAACCTACCTCTTTTTAACTTATATCGCTTGGGATGCCCACCTTTCAATATATATATATATATATATATATATATATATATATATATAGATGAGATGATACCGACAAAGACAAGGGAGACCGGAATGGACATTTCTGGCGATCACGAGCCCGTTGGCCTGTCGGTTTTCGATCGGGAATATACAATGTTAGGGGGCGCTCAACGATTGTTCATGCGGGTGTTCAGGCTGCGGGTGTTCCACACTTCGGGCTTGGGTATGGCTGGCTGACGACGGCTAATAAGCCAGAAATGGCCATTCCAGTCTCCCTTGTCTTTGTCGGTAATGTTATTCTGCCTATGTATCATGCGCCGCTGTGCGGCTGCTGGTTGCGCTCGAGAGAGAGCCCTTATGGCACAACGGAACGAGCGAGTTCCGTATGAACGATCGGTGAGCGCCCCCTACCACTGTATATTCCCGATCGAAAAACCGACAAGGCAACGGGCTCGTGGTCCGTTGAGTAGAGGCGTTGACTTCTAAACCAACAGGTCGCAAGTTCGAGGCTCGGGTGTTCCACACTTCGGGCTTGGGTATGGCTGGCTGACGACGGCTAATAAGCCAGAAATGGCCATTCCGGTCTCCCTTATCTTTGTCGGTAATGTCGTTCTGCATATATATATATATATATATATATATATATATATATATATATATATATATATATATATCCATATAGTAAATTTATTAACCGTGTGTGTGCTTTTAGCAAGTATCTACGTCGGGAGTACTGTATTATCCTTTTGTATATGGATATCATGCTACTCGTAATTCTACTTCTTTGTAGAATGGGCAATTACGTTTAAATTGGTTTAATTACTAAGGAAATTTAATTGCATCATAAAGCAAAATGTCACACTTCTTGCAATCTCTATATTTTAGACTGCGTTCTTGTTCAAAGGCGAGACAGCTAGGATGTGTCAGCGACAAAAACAAATCTCTGAAACGCTTGTGGAGCACTGGCAAGTGCTAGGTCAGTATAATAAAGTATAGCATAACGACCTTAGGGGATCCAATCTAGGCAAGTTATATCCTGTAAGAATGTTTCTCCGCATTGAAAGTTACCTATTCTACCGTGACAGATGCATCCTCGTTCATATATTGCCTATTGAGGCATGGCGCTTTTAACGATCCGAAATATTTGTTACATCGCATACATCATTGAAAATATGTGTTTCGGTTGACAAACCCTAAATAAACGTAGATAGGGACTTCCAGATTTATTAACTTTGGCTATATATATATCAGCCAAGCAAATAAATTTGCGCATACAATGATCAGTGTTAAACCTCGTGCTTTCTAGTCATTTCGCTGCGTATGTATGATGAGTCCACCAACGCATAACGTGGGATTAAAACCGCTTTGCACAATGCTAGCCTGATCGTGTGTCGTCTGTAAACTAATTATTGGGCTTATCGTCATCGTGTTAGCAAGCAAAGTAGGGAGAAAATCCGCGCACTCTGACCGCCGACCACTACGCAATTTTTAAACCTCTGACCACAGTCAAGCCACTGAAGGACATACTTGTTTACTTAACGCCACACTTCACTGCACTACAATTTCGAAGCAGTAATCAGCTTTAGAAAAGGAATATCTGACACACAGATTGAGCTGTATAGCAGTAAAGTTGCAGTTTGGGTTGCGGAAATACGTTCCATACTTGGATAAAATTGCGTATAGTCTGGAAAGCGTTTGCCTCTGAGAAAATGACGACGAATATCTATCCCTTCAGATTGCTAGGAAGTTTTTCTCTCTTCCACATTGCGAACATGCATGTGTAATACCTTTTACACAGTTTTTTTCAGGCGATCATGACCCCAACGTGCTTCCTTTGTAATTTTACGGAATATCAAGCGAGCAGCCAAATTTCGGTATTTTTATTTTGATTTGATTACTTGTCAAAATAATCTTTTACATATCACATGTAAGGGTGGGCGAACTACATGGATGCCGTACGACTACTATATGCAGAACCTCGCAGACAAAAAGAAATGTGATATATGGTATGTCTGTCACGGCTGCCATTGTGTTTCTGAATACCGATTTAACAGCCCGGAGTTGCAATAAATATTTTCACAATAAAATGCCAGCCGTTGTAATGTTTGCTCGACTGGAACTCTTCTGTATGAGCATATTATTTAGGCATCATCTGTTACACAGTACGTAGGTTCTACTGGCAAACAAACTCCACTGCAAAACATAAACCAATCTCCCTTCCGCAAACATATTCCCCAAGAATATAATAATGCGTCAAGCAATTGCTTTTAAATTACAGTCTAATTATCGTGTAGATCATTCGTATCCTCTGTACGTACTTAAATGAATTCTCGGAAAATAACAAAGCTGCAATATCACAGACTATTTCTTGTATGACAATGGTTTTTTTGGTAACTTCGTTGTCATGCAGTCGTAGAAACAAACTGTGTGCTTGACGTCAACGGTAGATTCCAAAAAATGCCACTGGGACATAACGCTGGAGGTGCCGATAGCGTTCAGTTACAGGATGCGTTAAATACTTAACTTAAACTTTTAGATTAAAAATTTGCTGCAATATATTTATGTTAACGCAAGTTACATAGCACACTCTCCACAGCAGTTTTCATCGTAATTTAATAAAAAATGCCGGAATATGTTAACGTTAGGGTATCTTGGGGATGAAAACTTCTGGACACACGCTGGTGGAAAAGGATGGTGTTCATACAGTCAAGGCTACTTCTGCTGGCCGTACACTGAACGCAAGATCATTCTGCATCTTTGAATTCTGTAGTTATTTCCCTTTGTTTGTGTCCTTTTTGATTACGTTCTGATGTTTGTACATTCGCATTAACACAAACGATTTGAAAAACACACTTTTACTTTTTATATTTTTAAACCGCACGCACTTACTCCATAATCATCATGATGCCAAAAATTAAGTCAGGCAATGTCTGTGTTCGCATTTTTCTTTTAGATGGTGCTTATTATAGAACGAGTTTAACTCTGCCGAACGTTGAGAAAATCTCTTACTTCATGCTAAAAAGGGAATATCCAATTACAATTCACAAATCTGTGGATGATGGCTTCCGTACGCATTCCTATACCACACTTTGAAACAAGCTTTTTTACTTGCCACGTTTGCACGGTTCGCCAGTATAAAACCACTCAGATATCTGAAATTTCCAACTAGATCTTTTAATGTTAGCTGGTTTCCATGCAAAAAGAGGGCAAAACTCTGGATATTTGTACAGATTGAAAAACGTATTCATATAATGTTTTTTTGGATGGCAATAAATCGGAGTTAAATGATGCGAAACATGTTTGAATTTCCTCTGGTTTCCGTAATAAAAGCACAAATAAAAATATTTACGTAATTTTTAATTTGTATTTAAACATGATTTGCAACAAGGATCATCTGTTTGCCTGCTTGGAATTGTCCCCAGCGGGCGCAGGAAAGGACGGAACATACGGTGGGTGACCTGCCCACTGACCTTTCTTTATACTTCACACACAACGAATATATATTAAAATTATTAACAATTTAATTCCCATAACACAAACTTGGCCTTTTCTTGCACCTTTACCGACATCGAAAAAGACGAGAGCAAGCTAGATTGCCTAAAAATATTTAACTTCGGTAATAACTATGTCGATCAAATCGGATACATCGTTATACATGAATGATGGAAGACAAAAATGAAGGCCACAAATAATTTGTACTGTTTACATAGGGTTCAGCTAACACTGACGTCTC